AACATTCAAAATTCCGAAAATAGTGAGTTTTTTCAATAAAGAAAATTCAATAGTACCTGTGGTATAACTCCAAGCACCTTATTTTACATTATTTCCAAGATTTTTTACAATCATGATAATTAAATTACATAATTAAGTCGAATAATACAATAATCTATTTCATAAAACATCCTTTTATTACTTATTCTAAAAACATTTATCTAGAATACCAATAATATTTTTATTAAAATTTCAGTTAATAACTAAAACGCGTCAATCACATATGTCTGTTCTAAGATCATAATTACAATAAACTCCTTCATTGGTTGTCAATCCATCACAGCACACCTCAAAAAGGCGCAATAACTTTGCCAGTCGTGAACAAGCAACCAGGTCGGAGTCTTGTCAAAAAATATTTCGTTTTTCTTTCTAGTTATTTTTGCGGAAATACTCGTGCGTGGCGTTTTTTCTTTACACAATACCCTTCCTAGGAGTTTCTAATGTCTATTAAAGGGGTGAGTTTATACAAATATTTATTTATACACCTAATTTTGATAATTTTCTGGTCGAGTTTTTTAATATTTAAGACCACGCGTCATTGTATTTGTTTTGCGTCGGTATGGCGTCTCATGGCAACGCGATGGAATCTCTGCGCGCAGCGGACAGCATCAACAACTTTGATACAGAGCGGGGGAGACGGAATGCCGCTTGCTATCTCGTTTGAGAGAAACTGCACGGATTTTTTTCTATTACTGCTAAAAATTATCAATGACTCTTAAATGTCAATATTTTATGTAATTTCGAGGTTAATTTATTTTATGTTTTGTCTTGTAGGAATGTTATGTATGGTACAGAATGAAACTTTTCGTCTAGATAATAGCCTAATTTAAGGTAAAGAACAGTATTTTTTGCATTTTGCCTAACAGAAAAAACTTAATTAACTATAGAAAGATTTATTTATCTTGTTTAGCAAAAAAAATTAATTATAGGTTCTTGTAAACTATAAGTACCTCGGAATGTTACACTTATTCTTGTTTTTTATTAAAGCTTTACGTAAATAGGGCTGATTCAAATCAAAAAAAGGTAATTATTTACAAAACGGTTTTTTGCTAATTTAGCACTAATCGTGATTTTTTTTGCATAGACACGTTCTATTGTGTGTAGGGAACATGAATCTAGCTGCGGAGAAACGATAATTTTTTTTTTTTTTCGTAAATATTGGGCACTTAATCGAAAACCGTTTTCTAAATAATTACCTTCCTGTGATAGTTTACAAAACGGTTTTTCACTATTTTTGTAATGTGGTCGACGTTGATTATATAGTTGTTTTGTACTCATTATGAAGAATATGAACCCACCTGCGGAGACACGAAAAAATCCATATTTTTATTAAAAACGGCATTTTCCCTGAGCCGTGTTTTCGCTTCTATTTATATTTATTGACTCATACACTTATACCTATAATTTTACTATACAATACAAGTTCATAATTCATTTTTCACAGAAATTATCCACTTTCCAACGGAAATAATGTTAAATATTTCAAAAAAACATACATAATACGAATTGGATAAAATATTTCTTTTTTTGTCATACCCTCAGTATTTATAACGATTAACGTGTTGACATTTCTATGCTTTGTTGCCAAGTTTTCATTCTTTCTGAAATTTTTTTTCTGCGTTTTCTTTCTTTGTAAGATAACTTTAAGATTCCTACCTAAGTTAAATGAAATAAAAAATGCTGTTTAGGAATTTAGGATGTGGTAGCGATAGTGATATTAAGTTGATAAGAATAGATATTATTCATTGATCTGTGTCAAAGGTCGAGAAGAGGATCTGTGGTTTTTACTACTATGTTTTGTGACTATGTGTTCAGTTGAGTTTTTTTTACGTTGAATGCTGTTTCACGCATAATATTCTATTTGTCAATCGTTTAGTAATAATTTTCGGAAATGCCTTGTGTGACATGTACTTTTACAGTGCGAGAGTTTTTGCACCTTTCTTCGAACCGAAGACAACTTATCGACTTTTTAGTGGACCATGGTGTTCTTTGTCGATTTTCGACGTGTGTTACGTGCGACAATATTATTGAACTTAATATTAATTCTTTGTTTTACACTTGTTCCAAGACATATCGCCGCCAAAATCGGATCCGTAAATGTAAAACCAAAAAAAGTGCTAAGAAAGGCACTTGGTTTTCTAAGGCACATCTTTCCTTGGAAGATATTGTTTATTTTGTGGTGTTGTGGCTAAGACTACCATTTCCAAGACAGAACTTTATTATGAGGGAGTTACATTGTAGTTCGAAAACAGTTGTAGATTGGAGTTCTTTTTGCCGCGAATTATGTGTTCAGTGGGTGGTTGAACATTCGGACAAAATTGGGGGAATAGGGAAAATCGTAGAAATTGATGAAGCAAAATTCGGCAGGAGGAAATATAATAGAGGACGTAGTATCGAAGGGCAATGGGTGTTTGGTGGAATTGACAGAGAATCAAGAAAAGTGTTTTTTGTGCCTGTTCCTGACAGGACTGCACAAACATTATTAAATGTAATTAAACAGTGGATTTTGCCTGGAACGACCATTATTTCAGACTGTTGGAGAGCGTACGATAATTTGGAACGTGAAGGGTTTAATCATTTGGCCGTCAATCATTCTTTGCATTTTGTCGATCCTAATGATTCTAATATTCATACACAGAATATTGAAAGAATTTGGAGGAACGTCCGCGGTGCAATTCCCAGATATGGTCGAAAGCAACACCACTTTATTGGATATTTAGCTGAATTCTTATTCAAAAATGCCAATCAAGATAATTGTGATATACATCAAATCTTTCTTCAAATCGCTAAATTGTATCCACCCCAAGTTTAATTATATTTTCCTATTATTCTAATAATTCCTTTCGTTTTTCTTCTTTAAATGCAATTTTATTTCTTCTACATTCATTTGCCAACGCAATAACCATTCTACGAACGATTTACTGTGTTAAAAAGTGACAGATGTGTTCTTTTTCCATTTATGTGCTACAGTGACTACTATTATGAGGAATACTCTGTTTTTCAATTCCCTTTCTATCCACCCACTACCCCTAGTCATTCCCAGAACCTGTAAAATTTTTTGTCGAAAATGGACAAAACGAAGGAGATTTTCTTGTTTCCGCAGGTAAGTTTTTGCTTTATACGCATGGTTTTAAGAGTCTATAACTTATATATAAAAAAGTCGCTCAAGGTAAAATAGTGTGTATTGTATGCAATTGATTCTGCGGATTTACGATTTTTATGTGGAGGTGGCAACGTTGCATTCGATCGGAACATTCGGAACGCAAACAGCAGCAGCTGATTCATAGGCGAAGGCGAAGCGCTCGACGGATTTCATATTAAAACATCGAAACAGTGAATAAATACTTCTCTTTTTGCATTTTTCGTTGATAAAAGTGGTTTATCCGCCTTTTTATGGTTACACTATGGGAGCTATTATCATTCTCACAGTGGTTTTACCCCACCCAGCACCCCTATTCGCTCCCAGGTCCCGTAAGCTTCTAAACTGAAAAATTAAGAAAAAACACCGTTTTTTGAAGCTCCGCAGGTAGGTTCGTAATCTCTACAATCATTTGAAAGTGTCTGTATGCATAAAATTTCTTATATTATTAAAATAGCGGAAAACCGTTTTGTAAACTGTTACCCAAAAAAACATTGGATCATGCAGTTTTCTTTTATATTTTAATAACTAACTGTGATTTTTGCAAAAATATTATTAGATTGGTTAGAATTTGGGTTGCTTTGGTTAACTTTTCTTTGTGGAGGGTGTTAAGCTGTGGTTTTTATATTTTAATAATTAACTGTGATTTTGTAAAAATATTATTAGATTGGTTAGCATTTTAGACACTTTTACATGATTTTTTTTTGGTTCAAAAGTGTCCAAGGATTTTTTTCTTTTAAACTGTTGTTCTATAAGCATAGGACTTTCTGCCAAAAAAATTGCTAAATTCATGGGTACCGTAAAATGGGATGAATAGAAACAGTTTCGTAGGCTATTAGCGATATACCGGTTGATAAAAATGTGGTATTATGTTCCCGAATATTTTAAAACATGGGTCTTTGTTTGTTCTTTGCGTATACATATAATTTGATTTTTGAAAAATATGCATATAAATATTAAATAAAAATAACTTTTGTGTTTCTATTCACCTGCTATTCGGGAGAATAGAAACACACACATTGATGTTAAGGTTTTTATCTATTCTATTTCCAACAAGGTGATTAGAAACAGATAATTATTACATATTTAAGTAGGTTTAGCAATAATTAACAATACATATAATATAACAACTTACATGTACTAGCTTAAGTATTACTTTAAAAATAAATATTTTATTTATAAAGTTTTCGCGCCATACAAAATAGGTGATAAATCGATCTCACATTTATTGATCAGCTGATTGACAGAAACAGTGCTGCCACAGATAAAAATATAGTTTTTACATTTTATTGTGTATTACAACACATAATCCAGATGGCTCCTTACGTGTTAAAAATTGTCACCCTAATTTCACTCCAATTTGGAAAAATATTGGAGTGACATTTGAATAATCTGAAATTTTTAGATTTCTTTTCTCACTTTTTTGGGAGGTTTTGCTTCTCTTGCACAGATGTCGCTTGCACTTCAGTTGCGTGGTTGCCAAACGTTATATCGAAATATTTTTCATTTCATTATGAATATATAAAATTAAAGGTATACCAAATTAAAAATTATGTAATTTATAAACATGAAATAGATATGTTAAATTAATATATAAATATTTAACTTAATACGTTCATTATTATTTTATTAATTTATTGTCACACGTCATTTACCAGTTGCCTAATTACGAAAAGTTTCATATGACATTAACCTCAAAAATGATCTTTGAAAACAAACAATAACAAACAGAGCAACAAATGAACAAATAACTACATAATGACTGATAATGATAAGTGATAATAATAACTTTAATGATTTACATTATTTTGAGTTTGTTTAATAAAATATAGGATACAAAATAACTAAGCAAAATCAAACAGTTTTAGACAACCAATACAAGATTTAGAACTTGACATCGTGATAAACAAATTGTACATTCAGGAACTCGTTTAAATATTATAGGTAAGCAATATTTTCACAAAACTAAACATTTTAGCATAAAATCACAGGTAATATATAGAATATTACCTATGATAAAATGTTAAATACTGATGTATATTTATTCTAATCACATTTAAATTTAAACTCAAAATTTTCATAAAAAGAAAATGATAATTTTTCGTAAATATAAAGTAAATAATATTACATATTTCAGGTTGATTGACGAATACTCTACAGTTGATTAGAGCCCATGATGATGCGAAGATAATTAATATCACCTAACTTCAAGAAACCAGCATAAAAAGTTTACATTCATAACTCATCTAACCATTATAGGTAATAATTTACAAAATTAGCCATTTTTGATTATAATATTAAGGTACTTAGGTACATTTTTATCTTCTAGATCAGTAATGTCGTCATAATTTAAATGAACTCACAGATAGCAATGGGGCACTGCACCGAAGCAGTATTACAAAATATGTGAAATAAAACTGTAATACAAATTGCTCTATAAAATTTAATAGAAATAAATTTATTTATGAAAATTAAGTTATGAAGTTTTATTTTTCCTAGGAAAAAAATAACATTTATATTTTGATCAATTTAGAACATTACAGTTAAAAAAATATGTGTTAGAATAACATATTTTTAATAAAATTGCAGCTTTTAATTTTTATACTTTTTTGCTTTTATATCAATAAGAACTAACGTAAGGAACAATTCATATTTATACTATGAAAACACATGCATATTTTTTGATGTTTTTAAAACCAGTGAATGATGTTGAAATATACTACACCTATTATTCTTATTAACTAACTTTAATTACAAACTTACACATTATTGTCATTGGAAATAAATTAATTTGGATATTCTATTTGTTTAGAAACTTTTTTACCTATTGTAGTTTTTTTAAAACCTACTTGATTTAAAACAAAAAAATGTCACCTGTTGTGACAAAATAAGGTCTTTTTTACTAGAAAACAATCTAGTGAGCTTTTCTAATAATACTTTATTTGATATACCATATGATCGAAAAAACGGCGTCAGCGATGGCTATGAAATGAAGATCGCTGTCATTTTAAATGTAAATTTATATGGGAAATGTCATCGATTGCCATTTCCCAGCCAACTGGACGCCGTTTTTTTTTCGATCATGCGGTATAATATGTATTCCCATCTGTTAATCTTTTTATTTTAAGGAAGATTTAGGAAGGGTAGCTTAAAACATGTTTGTCAATCAATTATCTTTATATGTCGTTTGTAAAAATATTTTACAGTAGTAGAAAATAAAACTGTTTTTAAGGCGAACAGCTTCTTTGCTAAAATATTTTTTTGGTCCCAATACATAATGATTTACATTTTTTTTTAACTTCAAATAATGAATTTAATGGAAAAATTGCAAGTCATAAAAACGTTCTAAATATACAAATCTAACCATTTTTTCCATACCGTTGCTCCAGTTTTTTGTCAAATTAACGAATATTAGAAATAGTTTATTTCAACCTCTTCAGCTTATTTTAAAAATGTTGACAAATAACAAAGAATACACCCCTTAAAGTTTCGCATTTGTCTTGATATACTCTGTTAAGACAACAGTAAATAACTTGTAATATAACTTCGAAATATAAATTTGAAATTAAAATAATGATTTGTTCATAAGTGATTTACGTTTTATTAATTTTGATTTTTTTTTTCTTAAATTTAATTTAAAAGTGATTTACGTTATTTATTAATTGAAACGTTTAAAATTTGAATACTTATACGTTCAAAATTTTTTTTTACAATAAATTTGTTTATGATAAATAATAAAATTGTTTATGATAAAATAATAGAAAAATTAGATATGTCGACTCTTTTTACTTTGAATATTTTTAATCGTGATTTGATTTTTTTCAGAAATTTTGTTTCTATTCACCCCTATGTTTCTATTCACCCCATTTTACGGTACATATTTTTTTTTAATTGTGTCTCTCTATTTTTAGGTTAGTGTAAGTTTTGTTCTGATACCATGGAGTGAATCCTGGAAACACGTGAGTACCTAATAAAATAAAGATAATAAACGTACTGTAAGTGTACTGACTCAATTTTGCTAAAGTATTATTAATGCATGGGGAAAAATGTTTATTCCATGGTTCCAAAAAAGCTCTATATCAGGTTTTATATTGGAAGTTTCCATTTCAGTCTTTTTATAAAATATCCGGCCAATATAGAGTCAACGATAAAGCGTAAAGTTAAATATTTCAATTACTTTCAAAATTATGAGAAAATGACACATTCAGATGTTTTAGAGAATGTTAAAGTATACAATTTAAAATTATTTTTAGTATACAGAGTGTTCCAAAAACTGAGGCGCATATAACATAATATATTTTAAATGTGTTCTGTGTTCTCTATTTTCTGTTTTATTTTTATTTTTTGGGCAAGTTTCTATAACGTTTTTATATAATACACTTAAAACTAGTTGTTTTTGTAATATTTTGATTTATTTCATAATATGTTTAAAAATTGCCAATAGCGCTATTGTTTGTTCTGTAAAGTTCTAAAGAGGAGTTGTAAAAAGCTGATATTTTTTGACAGTTTAAAAACATATTACACGATATTACTGAATCCAAAAACTAGAAATGATCAAATAGACACATTTGCAGACCTAAAAATCACAATACAAATGTCACATTTCTGCGCAAAGTTCAAACAAAACTTCGTTAAGTTTTGAAGAGAAAAATGTTGAGTATTATTTGGGGACGGATAATAATAATAAAATCAACAAAGTCCTATGGGTATTTATTTCGCCCCTTGCACTCTAAGAAAATCTACAAAATAAAATAGTTATCTTTTGTAAACACGGTTGCGTTAATCGCTCGTAATAAAAAAAAAATAACTATTTTATTTTGTAGATTTCTTGAGTGCAAGTGGCGGTATACCCATAGGACTGTATATATACAGTATAGACATTTTTTAATAAAATCATAGGCGTAGTATAGGCAAATGGTTTGTATCTTCTTAGGTCTTAGGAAATTGTTCAAACCATTCTCTTTGGAGTCAAATAAAAGGTCAACCATTTATGTAGAGTATGAAGAAGTCAAAAGTATTTCTATAAAAAGAATACTATAATATATTTACATGTATCCCCCTTATCTGTGATTTCTCTACATAATAAACTAGTAACAAATGTAACAATAAATATAAATTACTTATTTGCTGCATGCATAATGAATTACTTACAATTTTTACAGCTGTTTACAACAATCAGACTCTCTTGTTTACGAAAAACAGCAGAATGATTATTTTCAAAACAGAAGAGTAATAACAAGTATGTTTATCATATTTTATTTATTAGAAGGCCCTTGAAAACAAAATGATAAACTTTGTAAGTTAAATAAGAATTTAAATTAGTAACCGTAAAAGAAAAAAAACTCATAAAAAATCTAAAGCGCTTGACTTTCGCCTCCTGTAGATTCACATGGCTCCTATTTTATCAAAAAGTGTAGTTGTATTAAGTTTACAGCTCGGTTTACAGTTTGACAAGTTCACAAAGTTAAATTATAATTTATAAAAGAAGATAACAATCATAGATTTATTAATACACATGGACACCGAATATTAACTTGTAGGTACATATTTTAATAAACTGTGACAGGGAAGTCTAAAAATATGAACTCACAAATAGATAATAACTCAAATCAATTGAAAATAGGTATTTTTCTTGGCGTAGTAGTTAAATACTCAAAGCTAAAGCGGTAATGATCAGGAAACCTTTTGCTAAAAATTTTCATTGACACTAAACAAGCCATAACGAGATATTTAGTGCACCCTGGTTAATGTCCACCTGAGTAAGTATCTGAAACGGCGGCTGTAAACCTACTCGTACCTCAGATAAGCATTTTTTTCTATAAACTTCTGCCAGTCAACTTGATCTATAATCGTAAACCTGACTGATACGGAGCATTTGGGCAATAATAGAAACGCAGTAAACTACTGACAAATGCTACAAGTTCTATTTGCAGCGGATTTAATTAAATTAAATCTCGACAGTTTATCTGCCATTCTGTCGGCCATATTTCAGGAGAAATGGCCAAGTATTAAGCACTGGTTCGGTCTGATATTGTAAAATACACCGGTTTGGATCTCGCTTTAAGTACACTGTACGGTTACGTCGTCAAATTTTACAATAAAAACGGAAGAGATTTATTTATATTTTCTAAAACTCGAAAAAGAGGAAAGTCGTAAACCTCGTTTAAAGCTGTGATAAATCGTGGCATTAAGTAGCAAGTCTATAAAATGTTATCAATTAGAAGTAAGAAGTTAGTTTGAATACAGTGTTGATCCTATTTCATTACTATTACTATAAGAATCATTACAGTTGAGGGTTGGAACCTTTGGTGTTACACAGCAAAATAGAAACACTAAATCACCACAATACACCAAAACACTTTTACTTTTACACTGGACGCGCGTTTCGCTAACCATGTTAGCATCATCAGCAGATGATTATAAACTGTTTATAAGTGTTTTGGTGTATTGTGGTGATTTAGTGTTTATATTTTAATAAGAATCATGTTTAGAAAAAAATTAAGTAAACTTTGCATAGGACTATTATAGGACGGGGATGCTCCAAGAAGAACTACAGATTGTATTGAAATGAAATTAGCCAAAGCATTTTATAAAAATATAGAGTTCTACAGGGGGTCTCCAAAAATATTATGCATCAAAGTTGTATTTTCTGTAATGTAACGATTGTCTGTAATCCCTAATATGTTTGAATTCTAAGAAAAAATAGAGGTCTGTTTCATTAGGGAAGCATATGGCTAAAATGTTAAGGTTTTTGGCATATTTCCCGTGAAAATAAAAAATACAATAATTTAAATTTCAGTAACAGCTGCATAAATTGTGATTTACCCTGTATAGCCTGATATTTAATTCATATAACCGTTGTATGTTAAAACAAATTAAAATTTGACCCAAAAGGTTATATAGGGGGAGACAAAATTAACATTGAACATTTGTCACTTAAAAGCAAGTTACTCTCTCGGTTACTCTTTTATGGAACACCCAGTATATTATTCCGATACACAATGGAGAATGGAGAATTCATATCTTTTAAAAATATTATTAAGGTTGCCTACCCCTTAGAGAAATATTTACCGACATATTTTTATTTTTATGATTTAGCGTCATTGCATCTTTATTATTTCATAAAATCTAGGCGTTATTTTAGCAAACATTAAAGAATGTAGAGTAAAATATACGACGGTAATTAAAAGATACACGTTTGAAACACATTTTAATTTTTACAGAATGAGAACTAGATATTATGTAAATGTAACAAAAATTAGCTAAATGAAATTTCGTGCTCAAAATGTTCCCATTCTTGTTCATTGCATCAAATGATTCTCTTTTCAAAAGATATATTCGTGTTAAAAGGCATAATGTAGAGTAATACTTCGAAAAGCAGCCAGAATCATTTCTCTCATGTTGTCAACAAGAGTTGGTCGAGTTTTGTAACACATCATCATTTACAACTTATTCAACCATTTCCAATTATGGTGTAGCCTCCCTCACATAGCCCCTTTGTAGTTGGCCCATTGTTGTATATTGTTGGCAATGCGGCCCAAGTTATCCCTGCAAATTTTCTAATATCATGGTCCCATCTCAGGTTCGGTCTTCCTCTGGTTCTCTTAGTTCCTCGTGGGTACCATGCTGTAATTTTTGTGGTCCATCTGTTATCCGTTCTTCTTGCCAGGTCTCCTGCCCACTGCCATTTGAGGGATTTTACTCTGCGGATGACATCTATTATCTGGGTCTTTTGTCGTATCCACTCTATTCTTTTACGGTCTCTCTTATATATTCCCAGCATATTTCGTTCCATTGAGCGTT